TATATATATATATATATCACCTACCCGTCTGACCCGACCCGCCTTTTAGTTGTGTTCTGGTTCTGCTAGATTAAATGTGATGGAGTAAAATTATTCTTTAACCTTTAATTAACGTGAGAGCATTCGAATTTACCAGTGACTGCACTAGGTTAATTCTATGATTATGGAGCATTCGACCCAACATGTGACTGCAATGTACTGTATTTATCAGATTTTTTATCTTCGGATCAACACTAACTCACATACTCACACGGGTGTGTTGATCCAACGAGACAGTCACCGGCAGGGTGAATTTTTTCTGCCTAACATAGTGGGGTTGCCGGCGTCGACCACTGTTGGTGGTGGGCGGGGCTTGGGTGAGCCCTTCGTTTTCCCCTGCTTCTTGTTCGGTCTCTCTGGGGTTGGGGATCGACGAGAGGTCTGCTGGTTAGGGCTCTTTGAGCTGCGCCGGCGGGGTGCATTGGGGGAAGGCGGAGGTACGAGCCTCCGTGGGCTTCTCCGATTGAGTACCGTTGGGGAGTGGGTTTGGGTTCGAGTTTCGGCAGGTGTCATTAGCCAGCTGTGATTTGGAGAAGGGAGTTTCAACGTCTGTTTCTCGAGCTTTGGTCTGCTGTCTTGGGTTCGCTGTCGGTTGTTTGTCTCGGTTTGGTGTTTAGGCCCTTTCCCGACTGATGGGGAGGGCTTTAATCTGTTTTTTAGGTGTGCGTTGTTTGAGTTGTGTTTGTAGGTTTGTTTTTCGTTGTTGTGTTGGTTTCTTTTTTTCCTTGTTAGGTGTAGTTTTTCTCCACTTGTGGGAGTTCGGATTCTAGTTTTGCTAGCTTTGTGGGTGTGTTTTGTGAGTGTGTGTAGTGTAGTTTGTTCTAGGCTACAGCCGTGTTCGACGGGTACACCTTTTTATGATTCCTGCTTTCAAGTTGTAATTATGTGTTAGTTATTTATAAAATTTTCTATTGTTGCGAGAAAGAAAAAGGAGCATTCAATTCCACCGGTGACTGCAGTTGGTAAAATTTTCCAATTATATGAACATTTGAGATTTAACCCTACATTTGACTACACTGCATTGCACTGCAATCGTCGATATTTTTAACATCAAATCAACACAAGTACACACATACCCACCTGAGTGTGTAATGCAACTGGGCAATCACTGAAAGGGTGCATTTTTCCGACTAATGGATCATTCGACCCTATCAATTGTTCACCGATGAATCAATAGCCACATTCCCATTAAATAATTATAATTGATCCACGGTGCCTAGGTTAGTGTTTGGAG